AGGTGTCTATGGGGATGGATAGATGTATATGGGGATGGATGGATAGACAGATCTCTATGGGGATGCATAGATGTATATGGGGATGGATGGATAGATAGGTGTCTACAGGGATGTATAGAAAGATGTGTATGGAAATAGGTAGGTGTCTATAGGGATGGATAGATGTATCTGGGGAGGGATGGATATGTGTATGGGGATAGGATAGATGTGTATGGGGATGTTTAGATAGATGTGGGTATGGGAATGGATAGATGTGAATGGAGATAGGTAGGGATAGATAGATGTGTATAGGGATGGATAGACATATATGGGGATGGATGGTTAGATAAGAGATGTGTATGGGGGTAGGATAGATGTGTATGGAGATAGGTAGATGTATATGGGGATAGATTGATGTATATGGGGATGGATGGATAGATGGGTGTCTATGGGGATGCATAGAAATGTGTATGGAGATAGGTAGGTGTCTATAAGGATGGATGGATATATGGATAGATGTATATGGGAATGGATGGCTAGATAAGAGATGTGTATGGGGATAGGATAGATGTGTATGGGGATGGTTAGATAGATAGATGTGGGTATGGGGATGGAGAGATGTGTATGGAGATAGGTAGATGTATATGGGGATGGCTGGCTAGATAAGAGATGCGTATGGGGATAGAAGGATAGATGTGTATGGGATAGATAGACAGACGGTTTATCTCGGGCTGTATAATTCACAGGCATCCTCCTTAACCCTTTCACTCACTCCCATCTCTTGCTCACCTCCTTGTCCCTTCCATCCCATGGGTCACAGTGCTCTTACCTCCACCCCACTCTCAACCCCTCCCCTCTTTCTGCCAGGCTCCTGGGTTGCTCTTACCCCTTTCCATGCCCCATGGCTTTGCAGAACACACACCCTGAGCATGGGGCATGGCCCCTGTGCTGGCTACCTCTCCCGGCCTTATGCACGTGGTGAGCCAGTGGACAGTCTGTCCTAAGGCAAAGGGGGCGGTGTACAGGGTCATAGGTGCTGGAACTAGGAGTACGGGGGGTGCCGCAGCACCCCCTGGCTTGAAGTAATTTCCATCATACACAGGGTTTGCAGTTTGCTTCAGTGGCTCTCAGCACAGTTGTCCAAGCACCCCTGTCCAGGGTGAACACTTTGGGGAGGCAGGGCTGGCTTTGGAGCAGACACTCCCTTCAGGGTACCTGGCCGTCAGGTGAATGCCTTTCCTCTCAGGGGAGCGATGGCACTCAGATCCCTACCCCCTCACGGGATGGGCACAGTGGCCGAGCGCATGGCTCATTCCTTCAGAATGCATGATACTCACTTCTTTCCCTTTGTGGGCAGGAGAAGCAGCACCTTCCATAAAGGCAGGGGCCCTTCCTGTGAGGGGACCAGGACAGGTGCCCCTTCCTTCAGAGCCTGAGATGAGGAGGGAGGTTTGGACGCTGATGGACCTGGAGGAATCTGAGCTCCCAGGCCGGAGGTGATGGGAACTCAGGAGCAGCATCTTCAGAGAATGCACGAGGCACAATCGACCAAATCCAATGCTCGGCCAAATCCATCGAATTTGGCCCATTATGGCTTGAGCAAGGCTTCAGCTGTGAGCATTGGAGGAGGGTTTTTTCCCTCATTTGCTGCTATAGATTAATGGTGCTCTGTGGCTCCATTCTGCACTGTAAAAGAGGGGCTAACAAACCTTCCTTCCCCTGCCCCCTGTGTCTGTATTGTCCACTGAGAACTCTGCAGGGCACGACCACTCTCTCATGATGTGTCTATACAGAGCCCAGCATGACGGGGCCTGCAGATGCTCCTGAAATTCAGTTAACAATAAAGATGCCGAGATCTTTTATGTGGTGGGTGCAATTCACCGAGCACCTCCTGGGACTGGAAACATAAGACTTGGCAGGCCGAACCGAGCAGTCAGCGAAGGCACAAAATACCAGTGTTCAAAAAACAGCCCAGGGAATCTTTTGTTCTGCCGACTGCACGTTGCTCGGCACCGCCTCCCTCATTAATCCCCCCATCCCCCCGCTCCATGCCCTCGTTTGCACTGGGTAAACAGCTCCTAATAGCACCTTTGCCCTTTCATTCAAACAATGGCGTCTGGGCCCCCAAAAGAATGTTGAGAGCCGCTGAGGGCCTGAGTTTACTGGTTGCGAGGCCAAAATATTACAACCCTTAAGACAAGCGTGTTCATTTTCCCTTCCCATCCACTTGTCACTCCTCAGAGGCAGGCATGAGAGGGTTTTGCGGGCCACATCCTCAGCTGGTGTTAATCAGTGAAGCTCCATTTACATCAATTCACACCAGCTGTGGAGCTGACCCTGTTTGTTGCTTCATCGCAGCCTTTTGGTTTTGAACCAGGCTGTTGTTGTTGGTTTCACCCACATCTAAACGTCTCCCAAAACATGTTGCTTTTTGATCCAATTTCACATAGAGAAAAAGGAAAGGAAGCATTTTGATAACATCCCAATGGCTCGTTTCCACATTTATGGAATGGAACAGCTCCAAAAGGCATTTCAAAAATGAAATTCACTGGGGTTTTTTGAATATCATAAAACAGTTTTTTAAAAGCTCAGAATTGGAACGCAGTGGTTAGATTTTATCTCAACAAAAGGACAGCCAATGAATTCTCTCTCCCCCCCCCCCCACAGAATGGGCCTGTTGACTTCTGTGGGACTGAAAATTAAGCATGTGCTTAAGTGAGCCGGGTCTGAAAACTTTAACCCCAGGGGGATAAACAATAATGAACAATCCAATAGAAAAGCCAAATGGTCTGTAGCAATGTCAGGTCCATGGGCTGATCTGATGAGTACAATAGAGGCTCAGCACCGCGCAGGATTCCACTCATTGTAGAGTGGTGCAAACAAAAATCAAACCCTAAGATCTTTGCTCTTTAGAAAATGTTTGGTTTTGTCAAAATTCAAAGCTGCGGAATTTCCCATGGGACAGAAAATCCAGAGAGAGAGTTTACAATCAAAAGACTCTACAGAGCTAGTCAATGGACTCAAGTGTGGTGTAGTATGTGGACTACAAAATCAAGGGAACTGGGTGCTAGCCCTGCCTCCATTCCAGACCTAATCCAGTTTGGAGGGTGGTATTTGTGGAAGCAAAGTGATGACACGTTGCTTCAGTTTAATATCAGATCATGTAAGTATTCTCTCAATCTGGCCTGACAGTAGGAGAACAAACTCCCTGACCAGCTGTGATCCTAAAGGCATGCACCTCTGAAAGCCTTTAGAAGCACTTAGCGCCAAATTTACAATGGCATTTAGGCGTCTGACCAAAGCACGGGGTTTTCAAAATCCAACCCTTCCTACTTTGCCTGCGAGTGCTATGAGATGGATAAAGACACCTCCTCTTCCTTATGTTCTCAGTGTTACATGATGAAAACATATGAGCTCACTGGGATCTGGCTACGCAGAGCTGGCAACCCTATTGTATTTATTTGGACTGAGAGCTATAATTGCATTCTGAGGCTCCCTCTCTGACAGCAAGTAGCAGCTGTTTGTGATCCGCGTAAGTGTCTGTTGGTGAAGCAGACGTAGGGAAGTGTATCGGTAGGAAAGGAGTCCCAGGTCAGTGCAGTGGGACTAGGAAGTGAATCTTTATCCCTCTGTTCTGGAGAGAGGGATTAGAATAAGAAATTGAACACAGTTTGCATTAATAGCAAAGCAACTTGGTCTGATAGTAACAGCAAGGATCTCAAAGAGTTTACAGCAAGCACCTCAAAGTGTTTACTAGCCCCATTTTACCAAGGGGGAAATGGAGGCAGGGAGAGAAGAAATGACATGCTAAGGTCCTATGGCAGATCTGGGACCAGAACCCAGTCATCTCAAGTGAGGGCCACACTCAAAGGGCTAAGATAGTTTGTTACGCACTAACCTAGATCTGTAATCAATAATTTGCGCTGTCTTGGGGGTCTAGAAAGCAGGGCCCTGTTGTGTTGTGTGCTGTATAGACACACAACAAAGATCTGGTCTGAAAAGCTGCCAATCTGAGTGCAAGACTAGACAGACAACAGTTGGATAGACACAAGGGGAGCACAAGGAAACAAGGAAATGACAGTGCCCCGTGGGATAAGTAATGGTCACAACACACTCACTGCCTAATCACTAGCAAACTGTAGCGCATTGCTGCTCTTTAGCTTAAGCCTTAGTAACTGGTGGTTTTAGTGCTAGAGGTCCTCAGTTCAGCCCCCAGTGTATCGCAGCCGTCACATAAGTATCGCCGCAGAGGAAGGCTGGAAGGAGGACAGTAAAATGGCCTTGCTGCGGATACGTACAAGCAACCTTTCCCATGCATGGAAGAAAGCGTTCTGCCTCTTGATTCGTTTCTTTAAACTGAACGGAACTAGTTGAATTGAGCCAAACTTTGATCGAAAAAAGAAACGAGGGGAAAAAATTCAA